AATCTTAACAAGTATATTATCTTTCAAAAATTCAAGCATGAGAACAATGTCTACATCACTGTAAAAAGTGGTGGCATTAGTTTCATTCTTGACGAAATAAGTGGAATTGTAGTTTAGAACAATATATTTATATCGCCGAGAACCATTCTCATAAAAAAATGCTTATTGAACAATATCTATCAATCGTGATTTCAATTTACCATGTGGTATTGTAGTATATAACGTGGAAAAGTCGAATGTTTTAATAGACTTTATTTCAGATAAAATCTAGATCTGAGTTTTTCGAAAAGTTCTTTAGAATTGTGTAATATCCACATGTGATTTACGCCACTCCTGGAAAAGACAGTGTCACAGTACTTTTGAATTCCTTCTTCAATGACAGACAGTACTATAGTTAATGTTTTAGACAATTCTTTAGTTGAACAATTAGAAAAATCTTTCCTTGTATGGTGTAATCTTGGTATTCAATACAAGTGGGATAAGTCATCATTCTCAACTCTGGCTGGTATTTTAAGACATTGTACATGTTTATTTTTAAACTGTTGTTACAGTCACTGGATTATATTGTCACCGGAATTTGAGATACATACACCCCGTTTCTTCCTGTGACTTAATGGCATGACTCAGACAGTCCATGGTGATTGTGAAATACCTTGGATTGTGCTGTGCCTAGCGTTGTTGGCAATACAAATACACATGACATCATTGACCCGAGTCGGCTATTTTAAATTGGTAGAGCTTCGATAAAATGAGGTTTATTTCACTACCAAAATTGGCATCCTCTATACACTGATTGGCCCGCTATTTCGAGATTTACCTGTAGTATTTAGGTAAAGACAAGTGTGAAAATCGTTAGTCAGGAAGGTGACCTGACTTGATCCTGTAATATCCTGTGATGCTGATTCTTTACTCCAGTGAGCTTTACCCTATTCAGGGGTAGATATGCAGACGTGCTTCGCAGTAGTCCTTGCTGATCAAAAGGAACCACGGACGCTCGCTGCCCGAAATGCTCCCGTTGTACCCAGGCCCGTGGCCAGCACTTTTGAATAGGGAATTCGAAAACAATAAATGATATATTTGATGTGAAACGTGTGAATATTATAATATTCAAAAAGTGTGTTTGAGCTCTGTTACATACATTTTTATATTCTCGGTATTAAATTCAATTGGTTTACTTTGTGTTAAGTTGGTAGGTTATTACACAAAACATTTTTGTACTATTTTACCATTATAGAGAAGGGGTCCTAGGCCATTCCCCACCCACAGACAAACACATCCACGCCCTTGATCCATTACGGCAAAATGTTGTACACAAAAAAGACAAGACTGTACGTATCTTAGCATTATTGTTCAAGCATTTTAAGGTAGAATGCTACTCACGAGCTTTTTCGCTCTTCACAGATGTTAGCGCACATAAAAGTGACACAATTTCATGTCGAAATCTGTCTACAATTTTTCATCTTAGTATTAGTCAATTATGTAATTTTATTTCTGTACAGGGCCTCAGTTCATCGTAGAAAATATAATAGGTAGAAAAGTGCATATCACCTTTTAAAAACAATACAACATCCATGTAAACATATGGTACTAAGTTAAGCTGGATTCATATTTATCTCGTCGCTTAAAAACTTTTAAAAGATACAGAGCTAGTTGATATATGGTGTGGCAGTTTGTGTAGCGGCGAAGTAAGCCCAGACTGTCAGTATTTGCATAATTGCGTAAAATTATTGACAACAGATCAGCCCTTAGATCATTATAAAATGAACATATAAAAACAAAGTAAATTTCATTTTCTATCATGCTAAATTCAAACGTATCACTGCAAAAACTAAAAATTTATTGATCTAACTGTATTTTTGTGTGTCTGC